TTTTTTTTCAGGCGAAACCCCACTGATGCCTTTTTCTTTCAGCTCTGTATACGTATTTTCCCATATCTGTAGAGGAACTGCGCAAGCCAAAGGCAAAAATGTTTGAGGCTGGACTTGTGTACGCCGTCAGGTCAAAGGAGACGATAGAGTTGATGAAATGGTATTGTTGTGTAAAGTTCATGGATAATTAGATGTTGTAGAATATATGATTTAGGAGCGTACTTTGCGCATTAGAAGAACATTGTATGGGAACTACGATAGTTCCTAACATTTGCGAGTTCAATAGAAGTGATTTATACTCATCATTTGCTCATTGCCACAGGTTCATAAAATTTTTCTTGCAGTAGAGTCACAGCTACAATTTGTTCACAAAGCAGTTTTCAGGTATGATCAATCAGTCATAAATGTTCTATTAGCCGACGCTTACTACTACGATCGACACTACTATTCGAGTGAAATCGCTGATTTCTTTCGAATACAGCGTTTTATATCTCGACCGGTGAAAAACCGTGAACTCAAGTGTACATAAGAAATAGTACTATACTTTCAATGTCTTTTTCGTCTGTACAAGCGGGTCATTATGTCAATTCTAATGCTCTGGTCACTCAAGTCTATTCACGATTGAGTCATGTCGTTGTAATTAAATTGAAAATGCTTACATTTCTTAATGCATCGAAGATTCTCAAAAAGTATTTTTAGGACGTCCGTTTCACAGGGAAGTGTGATCGTAGACGGAAGAAATTTCGAAGCTGAACCTAAGCTTCCCCTCCTCCCTCCCCCCAAGAGAATGTCACAAGATTTTAAAAAATGAATTACAGAATCGTGCGAGCAACTAGCTTTTGCTTTCAAATAGTTTAAAGGGTATTAAGAACAAAAATGTGGCCAATTTTATGTCCCTTTACATTAATACGAATTCCGTCGCCTTCTCCAGAACCTCACCTTGAGACTTCCACCCTGGTATCCATATGAACACGGCCTAAGCTATGTACAAAGAATGTAAAAGTGAGGGAAGCCTGTGAAATCCTGGGAAGTACTATACTAAGTAAGTGAGTTAGAAATGTGAATGGTCTGCTTATCATTGAATTTTTTTCCGTTAATTTACTAGAAGAAGAATTTACTAGAAGA